CAAACAGCTAAAAGGTGTTGGAATCCAGATTGAGATCCTATCTACCTAAGCCCCTATTCTTCTGATGCCCGCAAGTGGGTCCCTGGAAGATCTCTTACTGTGCCTGCAGCTCACTTCCAGTTAAGGAGGAGCTCTGGGCCCTCCTTACACAGGCTTCCTCAGCTCCATGGGGCCAGACTGCCCTCTAGCGTTAGCGTCATCCTGGGGCAGGATGGCGCTTTTCTCCTGCGGTTGTGGTGTGGCCTCTTTCCTTCCTGTGAAGGAAGGTAAGCTTAGTGCCTTCCTATTCACAGTTTCTCCTAGGAATGGGGGTGAATAAGCAGTAGGTGCTGTGATTTGGAGAGAATTATCTGGGGTTAGAGTGGCAGTCTCAGACACATTAAGCTTTGAACACTGAGTGGGAGGAACGGCTTCCAGCCCCTCCCAGTATCCGGCATATAGTAGGTGCTCACTGAATACTGAAGAAAGTTTTAAATCTCATTTTTAGTAAAAGTACAAGTCTGCTTACTTAAATAAGTTTCCCTTATGAGTGGTTATAAAATGGTTTATTACTACTTTACATGCATGTATGGAAATAGAATCTTTTAGAGGGGAAAGATAGGATAAGAAAGTAATATTATTGTAGCAATGAAACCCCCTCCTGTTGAATTTGGTCAAAGCACATTATTTGTAGGTATGGACATATTACACTACAGCCTTTTTGTATGATGAATATACACTAATTTGAAAGTAAAGTTATTCATTGTTTTTTGCCAGAAGCACTAGAAGAAGAGTGACATTGTAACAATCTTCCACTACAAGAGACTTGACAGGGCAAGTTCACAGCTAAGAGCAACGCACTTCTCAGCTTGTAAGGACAAGATGAAGTCAAAAGAAACAGTAGATAATTGTAGGCTGCCAGCCTCCAGCTGGTGTTTCCAATGATCCATGGATCTCAGGAAAGGCTTCTTCCTCATCATCCCTTTGTCCCAGGTGTCCTTTTCAACACGGACTGAATGGCACCTGTACGCATGGCTCATCAGTGGGAAACACAGGTGCACCAGATGGCAGGATCATGGCCAACCCTAGTGACACTCCTCCCATGAGCTGTCAGGCATCTGCTCTACTACTTATGTTCTCCTGACAGGAAACCTTTAAGGTAGGTAGTAGTTGTCTCCTTTGTTCTAAAGAAGGAAATTAGGTTCATCTCAGTACAAGTAATTTCGTGAAGTTCACACGACTTACAAAAGGCAATGCATTCTCACGTAAGTCCAGAATGCATGCTCTTCCTACACATCATTTTTGCTTGGAATACAAGACTCCATTTCTGAAAGGCCAGTCTTCCAAATCCATGACTCCTTGTGTCACGCTTTTTGGACTGTCCATAACTGAGCACAGCAGTTGGGTAGTTCAAAGAACAGAAATTTACTTCTCATAGTCTGGAGCTTGGGAAGTCCAAAATGACTTGGAAATCTAAGTCAAGGCTCTGGCTGGTTTGGTTCCTGGTGAGGGTTTGGTGTCCAGCTTGTGGCAGGCAGCCTAGTCTTCTTGCTATGTCCTCACATGGCGTAGGTAAAGCTCTCAGTGGTATCTCAAGTTAGGAGAGAACGGACTCCATCATGAGGGCCCTGATCTCAGGGTCTCATTTAAACCTAATTACCTCCCAAACACCCCAAAAGTATGGACCTGGAACAATGGCAGTCACAGTAGCAGTGCCCAGAAACTTACTGGGCACAAAAATTCTCAAGCTATTATGCCAGGTGTATTGACTAGGCATTTTCTTTTAACAATCCTTACAGCTAATTTAGAAAACTCTAAAGCTTGAGAACTACTGCCCAAACCATACCTAAACAATATACTTCTGGACTTACACAATCAGGTGTATGGACAAATACATTTTGGATTTTATTAAAACTAGTTTCAGGGCTGGGAATGTGGTGGTTGAGTGCTTGCCCAGCATGTATGAAGCCCTGGGTTCGATTCCTCAGTACCAAATAAACTGAAAAAGCCAGAAAAATGGCATTGTGGCTCAAGTGAGAGAGTGCTAGCCTTGAACAAAAGAAGCTCAGGGACAGTGCCCAGGCACTGAGTTCAAGCCCCAGGACTGGAAAAAACAAACAACAACAACAAAACCACCAAGTTTCAGCTGGAGTTTCTGTTGCTTGTCTCAGCTGTAGTTACTGCAACAGACAATCTCCCCAAACCAGGGACAAAATACGACCCAGAAATATATGTTCCACTTACACCCGAGAAGCATTTGAGTAATAATGGCACAAACATTTGTCCCTGAGTAAAAAAAAAATATTAACAAATAGTTTTAGCTTGTTAAGATTTCCAGATCACTTGATCAAATATACAAAGCCTGTGTGTTTGCTTAGAGATTTGAGAATTTTCACTTGAGGGCACCCACTGCATTTATTTTATATGCTAGTGCATATGCATAATTAACCAGAAACCCAGTATCTTTGCTCCCAAAGCTGAAGTTCAGCAGCCTGCTTCCTCTCCAGCCCCTCCCAGAATCACCTTTTCTCTTTCAGGGGCTGTTCACTGGAACTTACCTTTTTCTCAGGCTCAAAATAGGTTCTCTGTTGCCTCCTGCTCTCAATAACAGCCACCCACTCACCTCAGGTGCTTAAAGGTCTCACTGCTCATGGAGAGGGCAAGGCTGGCCTGGTGAGCAGACACAGCAGGGAGAAGAAGTTCCAGCTTTGAACAGAGCCTCACAGGTAACAAAAACCTGGTTTCTCCTGGAGAACAGAGCCAACTACGTGACTGGGCATCTGGGGATCATAGACGACCAACTCTCCTTCATTGAGTGCTTGCTTTGTGCCAGGGCCATGCCTAATATTAGTAGAACCATTTATGAAGTGGGGTATATAGACATCTATCACCTTACCCAGCTTATTCTTTTGTTGTTGTTGTTGGTTGTGGGGCTTGAACTCTGGGACTGGGTGCTGTCCCTGAGCTCTTCAGCTCAAGGCTAGCGCTCTACCATTTGAGCCACAGAGCCACTTCCAGTTTTCTGAGTGGATTTATTGGAGATAAGAGTCTCATGGACTCTCCTGCCTGGGCTGGCTTTGAACTGAGATCCTCATATCTCAGCCTCCTGAGTAGCTAGGATTACAGGTGTGAGCCACTGGCGCCTGGCGCCTGGCTCCCAGCCTTTTCTCTTGAGATGAGTAAAACTTTTTTTCTCAGCCTAGCCTGGAACCCTAGTCCTCCAGACCTGTCTCCCACATAGCTGGGGATGAGCCACACATCATTGCACCCAGCTGTTGGTTGAGATGGAGGTTCATGAACTTTTTGCCTGAGCTGCTCTTGAACCTCAATCCTCCTATTTGAGTAGCTAGAATTATAGGTGTGAGTGGACTGGTGCCCAACTGTGTGTGTGTTGGATACTTGGCAGGATTTTAAAGTATTAAACAACAAAGCAAGGGCCTTGAGCATGCACAGGTGGTGCTATACCACCAACTTACACCCCAGCATCCTCTTTGAGACTTAGTCTGGGCCTCATAGGAAGATAGTTTTCTCATAACCAAATAAAACCTTAATTGGCATGTTGTTGGCCAGTCCTGAAGTAATCATTATAAGCAGAGAACAGAGAACTGCGATTCAGCAGAGTAGGAGAGAGCAGTATCCCCATTCTGACTACACCGACTGGACAGGCACACTACAGAATAAGGGACATATAAAGCAAACACCACCTATCCTAATTCAACCCTGGCTGTCCAGCTCATCAGTGTCTTCATACTAATGTGTAGCTCAGATACTTCAACAGGAAATATAAACCCATGTAAAACTATGAACTTTTACATATTCCAGAAGGTTTATGTATTGATTTGCCCTTGGTGTGGGAGTGGGAAATCTCAGGATTTAGTTTGGTGACATGTGTTATTAGGAGTTGGCAGCTTGGACAAGAACAGGAAGGATTTCAGAACACAAAGCATCTTCCTAGTGAGTAAGAGTGTAACTACTTGCAAAACTATGGCTGCCCTGGACCCCTTTAGAAGTTCTTTGCTTCTGTGGATAACAGAATGCGGATGGTCCAGTCTTTCCAGGCCAAACCCCAAACCATGCCACCAGAACAGAGGGCTCCACTAGAGGTTTGCCAATACTGCTGTCCAAGATGTCACCTTCCTGTTTACTCATGACCTGTATAGCCTCTGCTCCCCAGTTTCTCTGTTCCTGTCAGTTTTATCCTCACCCCCAGATCTTTGCTTGCCAGGCAGCCTGCCCACTCATCACTACCAGGCTTTCTTCCCAGGGCCCAGCTCCATGCCTGCCTTCTGTAGGTCTTCCCTGTGGGCTGCAGCTCTCTTGGGCTGCTTTCTATTTTAGACTCCTGGGGCATGTGTTGTCTGGTCAGGAGCTGTTGTGGCATTTGCAATATAGTTTCAGCACAGCACGACCTTGTTTATTGCCTTTTCAGGCAAGCTATGCCAGAATTCTCTGCACAGGGTAGGGCAGGCTGGGTGGGAGACTTGCCAGACCATGTAAGGGTCTGGATGAGAGGTAGAGTTTGAAGCCATCCTGGGAACATGTTCCACATGACACCGTAATTCTTGTGCTTATAAAACATCCCCAGTGGATAAGCAGTAACATGTCAGCGATGCTTATTTCTTCTGGAGGGTCCCCATGAGACAAAAAGTGCTCTAGCTGCAGACTGCTGGGCACCACAGACCCTAAAAGACAGGAACCAGGAGGGGAGGGACAGAGCTGTCAGCTGATCCTGAGGTAGCAGGACAGGCAGAGGAGGATGTCAGCTAGTACCAGGGCTGGACACAACCCACAGGCCTCAGCCCATCACCACACCCCCAGCCTCCAGGCTGTTGGGGTTCCCTCTCCTGCATTCTTTGCCTCAGCTGCATCTGCAGATTCTCTTTTCTTAGCCAATTTCCGGAGCACAGAACATGCCAAAGTGTGGAGGGCCAGTGGGGAGGGAAGGGGCTGTCTTGGGCAAGGACAAATAAGGAAAAAATCATGCACACAGGCTTTTCATAAGAACTTTATTTCTCAAAAAAAAAATGGGAGTAGGGGTGGGGAGAAGAATCCAAAGTATTAAAATAATTCTGTAATCTTTGTTCTGGAGGAAAAGGACAGGATGACAAAATAATTCATATAAAAATTTCAGGCATAATTGCTGTGGATATTCCTCCCACTTGGTAGAACACCCTGGAACTTGTCTCAACTGTCTATAGCTCAGGTTACAAATGTGTCATGGGCCCCGGGTGCCTCCTGGCTCTGGATATCTGACGTGTTTATTTACCTACCCCACCAACACGTAGAGGCCAATCTTCCTGCCTGGTGGAAATAACAGTTCATTCATTCAGTCACTATTTCTGCTGAGAATCCTAAGAAGAGCTGTCCCTCTTCTACGACTGAAGATGACCATGTGTGGCAGCGATGAACTGAAATGTGGAAACTTAGGAGGGAGGGCAGCCCTAGGAGCTAGCACATGCCGAGAGACGTGACCTCACTGAGGTGATAAAAAGCAGTCAGGGTTTTCCCGAAGGAAACCGGGCCTTTGTTTCTACCAAGGGAGGGAATTGGACTGAGCGAAGTAAAGGACCCATCTGTAGCAATCACCCTCTTTACTAAAGACTGGAATGGAGAATACCAAGACTGACAGTACCAAATTGAGCCAGAAGTACTGAGGCACCCTTCCCAATGGGCAGACCCTTCTAGGAGGTAGGGAGAAGGTCTGGCTTCACTCCCAGAGGGCTTATCGACTAGTCAAAGTGTAAAGACCTCATGGAACATTCCTGGTTGCTGCTCTCAGTTGGTGTTTCTCTGGGGAACAGGGAGGTTCTCATGAAGGTACTTTAAGTTGCCATGCTCGGAGAAGTCTGAGACCACGTGGTCTTGCCCTCGAAGGAGCCACTTCGTAGTAAGCAGTCCCTCCAGACCCACAGGCCCCCGGGCGTGGATCCGTGATGTGCTGATTCCCACTTCCGCTCCTGCAAAGAAGCATGGAGAAAGTGGGGCTCTTTCCTTGCTCTGCTTTCTGCCTGAATCAGACCCACAGCACGGCACTTCATTCTCCTCATCGGACACCTTCATTCCCTGCCAGCTCCTCACCCGTCCTTCCCAGGCCAGCTGGAGTCCCTCTGTTCCCATACTACACATGGTATGTGGCCTCTCTTCTGTACTTTATCTAGCCTAGAGGTATGGTCTCTGCCATCAGTTTAGAATCTCATTTGTGTATCATATTGTGACTTTTGGACTGGGGAGGGACGAGGGGACAATCTTGTTATTGTGTCCAAGCTGGCCTCAGCCTTCTTGAGTTTCTAGGATTATTCCTGGCTTCCCCTACCTAATCTTAAGAAATCTTAGAAAGTGGAGGGTATGAGCGATCTTAATATTCTTTGAATTCTCAACACACGGGCACTTGCAGTTCCTTGCATGAATGGTTATTGTTCATTTCCTCTCTCTTGCTCCTAGCTTAGCCTCAGGAGACACCAGAGGTTTCCTGGATCTGGCTTAGTGCTCTGTGCTATATTCAGTGGAGCCGGCCAAGAGAGGGTCAGCACCACTCAGGTTCTGACTTCAGAACACTGAGGCCATGAGATTCTGGGCACATCACTAATTTCATCCCTCAAGCTTCAGCTTTATCAGCTGGAAAATGGGTAAAAAATGATTAATTCCGGGGCTGGAATGGTGGCTCAGTGGTAGAATGCTTGCCTTGCATGCATGAGGCCCTGAGTTCGATTCCTCAGCACCACATAAACAGAAAAAGCCAGAAGTGGCACTGTGGCTCAAGTGGTAGAGTGCTAGCCTTGAGCTGAAGAGCTGAGGGACAGTGCCCAGGCCTAGAGTTCAGGCCCCATGACCGACAAAAAACAAAAATAAAAAAACCCAAAAAAACAAAACCCGATTAATTCCTTTCTGCAGAACCCAGCCAGAGAATGCAAGCAAAGTGCTTGGCACAATGTTGGACACAGTGAAAGCTCCACAAATAACTGTCCCTGTCCTCGATGTGCCTTATAGGAACTTGACTGAACCAGCATTTTGGCCGTGACTCTGAGCTGGTGCTGGAAGGATGATGGAGTGTTCTTTTGCTTTTCTCTCATCCTGGATTCCCACTTGAGTGCCAGCAAACTCAGCCCTTACAAGTATGTGGCTATTTCCTTTTCAGAACATGATACAAACATCAGTGCAAGTGCTGTGATAATTACATCAAAGCCCCAACGAGACAGAATGGAGAAGCAAGAATGAACAGTCTAGTGGCTAAGAATGACTGGGGAAATTTCCCTTTAATAACTATTAGTGATCCAGTGAGAAGGGCTGTTCTGGGCAGATTATCTATTCAAAGTGAGTCATAAATGTCTTAATGGAGTTTAGTATAAGAGTACCCTAGGACAACTAGATGGCCTAAAAAACCTGTACTCTATAGAGAACTGGCATAGATAATGGCAGGAGGGAGAAGGCTATCTAAGATTTTCATTTCAAAGACTGCTGTAGACATTACCTTGAGCTTTTCTGTGTGTGTGTGTGTTGGTGCTGGAGAATGCATGCACTCTAGATCACAACCCTCTACCTATGGGCTTTTGATGCTGGTGTGTAGACTCAGTGCACGTCTTGTGCTGTTCTGCAGTTCCTATCTCACAGGCACCCCGAAGCAGTTAGTCTGCAATGGCAGTGTTGTCAAAGGACCGTGGCATGTGTATCTGTCATGGTCTGTGCACAAAGACAAGACAAGCTCTGCTTGTACAGGGGTGGGAGCAATCTGAACACAACTTGTGGGATTTGAGGCAAACTATTTTGTGGCTTTGACTTGTGTCCGTGTATGAAAAAGGAAATGTGGGTAATGAGTATTCTTCTCCCTGCCTTGCCTGTCTGTCTCTATCATGTTCTTCACAGAAGAGGGAGTACAGGGAAGTGTCTCCAGCTCGCCACCATCCTGGGACCACAGTGACCCGGGATGAGTCCATCTTACCCAGCCCAAAGCGGTAGCCATCAGAGAAGCGAGTGCTGGCATTCCAGAACACACAGGCACTGTCTACATGCTGGAGGAAGAACTCTGCTGTTTTCTCTGCAGGGTGGAGAGAAACTGAGTTAGAACGGTCACTCCCCAGGGACAGAGCTGGGAGGGTCTAGGCCAGCCGGAGGCCTCCTGTATTCTCCAGGGAAAGGCTTGATGAGGAAGATGGCAAAGCACCACCATCAGTCCCAGAGGTGTGCCAAGCCTGCCCCTGTGCTGTGCTGCCTGCAAGGTCCAGGTGTCTGAACATCTCTGTGCCTGAGTGAAGAGGGATGGACATTACCTTGGTCACATGGTGTGCAGGTACGAGAGGATGAAGTAAGAAGGGAACTCAGGAGCACTCGCAGTAAGTGCTCAGTAAATGCTAGCAGCTGTTACTGGTGGTGTGGTTACGATCTCCAGTGAATTGGCTATGAATACCTCTGGGACCATATGTTTCCTTCACCACCAAATCTCAAGGCCCTGACACCTGGACTGTCCCTAATATGTTATTTGCAGGGTGAGAATAAATATGCAGAACTGTTTCTGTCCTTACCTTCCAGGGCCTTGCTTTCCTTAGCTGTGGAATGGGTTCTTTTAACTACCTGCAAGATAGCTGCATGGATACAGATGCCAAGTTCTCCAACACATTGTTCACAGTGCTGCTAATCATCCCTGCCCTGCCTCCCTGAGGGATGGTGGGGCAAAATAAAGAAACAGCACATGTGAAAGCACTTGACAAAGCACCAAATGCGATTGTGGCAGTGTGTGGGACTGTTTTCCTGCAGGCCCCAGGGTCTGAGAGCTGCAGACCACCCACAGATCTGAAGTGGACAAACTGAGCCAGGCTGGAGCGAGTGTTGGCACACTGACCATTCTCTGTGATGATGACATCCGTGTGAGAGCTGCCGTACTTGTGGATGTGTTCGATGGCTTCCTGGACGCCGTCCACCACTTCAATGCACAGCTCCAGGTCCCCGTACTCTGTCCGGAGTGACTTCACTTCTGAGGGACTGAAGGTCAAGTAGGAGGCAAACTTGGGACCTGCATGAATTTTCACCTGGAACAGAGGGAGTCCAGGGACCACAACATAAACACTACAGAAACATACAAGCAGCAGGGCCTGGGTGATGCAGCCCAGAATAGCCCTGGGGGCCGGAAGGACTGAAGTGCCTTGCTGCTTGCTGCCACTGCGTGCGCCCTGCTGGGGTAAGGGCTTCCTGGCCACTAGCCAGCAATGGGCCTTCAAGATGAAACAGGAGCATTTGAGTATTACAAGTGTGCGAGACATAAGCCCTCAACTTCTGGCATTTGACACACTTCACTATAAAGCGCCCATTCCCTGCAGTGTAGGAGCAAGCTACTAGACTCACACAATACATATATGCATGTCTACTCTCTATACCCTGGAAAAGCCCTAGGGGTTGTGGTGATTTCATGCAGGTACTGGGACATGAATTCAGGGCCTTTGTGCTCTTATTCAGTTTTTCACTCAAGGCTGGTGATCCACCATTTGAGCCACATCTCTGGCATAGCTTCTTGCTAAAAACGGAGATGGAATGTCATGGACTTCAAACTTCAATGTTCCCAAGTATTAGCCTCTTGAGTAGCTAGGTGTGAGCCACTCATGCCTGGTTTTTGAGGAAAGCAGAGCTTGAGATAATACCTCAAACACTAGTTCCCTGTCAGATTTTTAGCTGGCTCAGTGAGCTCCAGGCTGTGCACTGTTACACTGCCCCTGCTCCTATGAGGAGTGCTGAGATCCTCGGATGATTACTGACTGCTGGGCACAGGGCTGACCCCATTGAGGCCTTGTGTCTGACATGGTGCACACCTAGATTCTTTGGGTAAAGCTCTTGCCTTGATTCCAATGTTAACAAATGGTGTCTGAGCTGTCCTCGTTGCTTTAAAGCCTGATCTCAGATACATTTCTGATCTGGGACCCCCACTCCCTCCAGAGCTACAACCAACAATGTTCCCCATCCCCAATCAAGACATGGGTGGGCTTTGCCTCCTGCCCACAAAGGTGCTGCACTTATTTTGGGGTGAGGCATTTCAAGGCAATCCTCATTTTGATGACTGAGGATAGGAAAGGCTTGTTCATATTAAGACCAGGAGCTTGGTTCTGGCCCAAAGAGAGCCTTCCTCCTGTCCAGTTGAGTTCACTGGTACCTGGCCACCCTATATACCCCGCCAAATGGGCTGGTAATATAAAACAGGAGTCCAAATGTGAGGAAGCATGTGATTGAACTTTCTTTTACTGTTGGGTGCATTTTCATTTTCAAAACAATTCTTTTACATCCTCATCCTCACTGGGACCATGCCATATCTCTAAGCAGACTGGAGCCTTCTCTTCCAGCAACAGAACAGAAAGGAAGAGACATGTAAGGGTCAAAGCAACCAAGGCCAGTAAGCACCTTGCCTATTGCTGCGCTAGCCCACTAAATTCCATACTGTGCCATGGCACTGGCTGTCCGGTTGGAAGTGCATCCATGCAGGAAGTTGAACAGATTGCCCATTTTGCCTTGAAAACTTCTCTTACTTCGTAGTCATGAATGCAGGACAGAGCACACATTTATGTTTAAGATAAACATCTTGCATCTGGTTTGTTTACTGCCTTAGTGCCTGGTACAAATATAGTCCAGAGGGGATAGTACACAAATGGCTGAACCAAATATCATAGCATTAAGGCCATAAATATTGGTAATAGAAGGCATTTTGGGGGAGCATGAATACATACAAATTTTGAATTTGAAAACATTTCTGCACAATCTTTAAATGAAACTCAAAGAAACGAATGTCTGCTTGGAAACATCAACTTTGTTACTAGAATAAAAGATGGGCAGAAAGCCAGTACTCAGTCTGTGCCATCTTACCTCTGACCCCTCCTGGCACAGAAGGTCCTACATTTTGTTTTTTTGTTTTTTTTTTGGTCCGGTCGTGGGGCCTGAACTCTGGGCCTGGGCACTGTCCCTCAGCTCTTCAGCTCAAGGCTAGCACTCTACCACTTGAGCCACAGCACCACTCTGGCTTTTTTCTTTTTGCTTATGTGGTGCTGAGGAATCGAACCCAGGGCCTCCAGCATGCAAGGCAAGCACTCTACCAATGAGCCACCTTCCCAGCCCATAGTCCTACATTTTGATAGCTGATCTGACTGTCTGTTTGGCTCACCCACCAGACTGCCTGAGGGTGGGCTATGTCTTACCCACTCAGAACTTCATATTAAGTATAGGCTTGAGACTGCGTGAAGTGGCTGCTCGTGGTCTGGTTTCATAGACAGGAGGAGATGTCCTAGTGGTGGTCCTGGGTCCCTTACCTGCTCCACTCTCAGCATATCGATGATCTGGTCGAACAGCGGTGTTCTCAGCAGATCCCGATGGATCAGCAAAGTCTCCAGAGCATTACAGGCAGCTGGATATTCACACTTAGAGTCTCGGACTGAAAGAAGAAGAGCACAGAATTCTATCAGTGTACACAATCCACAGGCATAGAAGGTTTCACTATTTCGCCCTCACTACATGGTAGATTCTGTCCAGCTCACCAAGTCTGGTGACCTTGTCAACACTGGCCTCTGAATCCACAAACATGTGGCAGATCCCTTCACTGTGTCCCATCACTGGAATCCCCTTTGCAGCTTTCTGGATGTCTCTGACCAGCTGGGAAGAGCCGCGAGGAATGATCAGATCTATCATATTGTCTAGGCGGCAGAGATCTTCAACTTCTTCTCGAGTATTCACCTGAAGGGGGAGCAAATCAAAAGCTAAAGATGACATTTTCTGAGTTGAGTATAATAGCACACACTTGTAATTCCAGTATTCCAGTAGTTAGGAGGCTGAGGCAGAAGATTATAAGTTTGAGACCAGTTTGGCCAGACTTTGTCTCAAAAAACAAAAAAACAGTAAGTGGAGCTATAGTTTCAGTAATAGAATGCTACTCTAGAGTACATAAACTCAGAGTCAGTGCCCAGGCTCTGAGTTCAAGCCCCAGGACACACACACACACACACACACCACACACACACACCACACACACACACACCACACACACACACACACACCACACACACACACCACACACACACACACACACACACACACACACACACACGAATAGCAGCTTCCATTTTATAGATCAATACCTAAATATCCTGAGCACTACAAATTTATTCTGAAATCAAGATTAATTTCCTGACTGTGGGGACTGAAATGACATCCAGCAAGTGCTAACCAGATTCTAACTGCTTTGGTGCTGTCTCTGTGTAACAGAGACATGCAGATTTGTCCCTTCTCTCCCAGAGCTCAGAGTCTAGCAGAGAAGCTAGCCATGTCTCAGGGCTAGCAAAATGTCAGAGGAGGTTCCAAGTATTGCCTGTGGAAGTGAAGGCAGTCTCTATCAGTGCCAACTGTAAGAATTGCTTCAGTAACTGCTCTGCCAGTTCTCCGCAGCCTCAAAGAAACCCTGAGTCTTGCTGAGGAGTTTCAGCTTA